GCCAGATCCTAGACTTTAAGACTGGTCATCCCTTTCCCTAGGCGTTCCTCAAATTTAGATCACTACACTCTAGCACCATTTCTAGGTCCCTTCTGTCACTGCTGACGTTTGACATTCAGATCACCAGCAATATGGGGTACGCGCTTTCCTGGATCCATGTGATGGTATCGTCAACGTTTCAGGAAGGAACCTTATTTAATATTTGGTGTGACAGGCTTACGGTGTCTGCACGTCTGCCCAGTATCCTTCCTGTCCAACATGACAATCATAATTCGATCACTTATCCTGCTCATAGCATAGACGGGTGCCTTGAGGGACTCAATTACCTCTACTATGGCGGCTATCCTGCTCTTTCAATATACTTTGGCAACTAACCTCGAAACGGTCTATCTGAGTTATTAAGTACTGGATAAGTTAGGGACTTCATTTCAACCTAGTCATCATAGCTCTTTCTATTGAAGTTGTTTCCTTGCGCTTCGCAAAATGATAGACAGCGATAACATTAGGCTCTAGAGGGATATAGGGGACGTAGGGATGCTCAATTTCAGGCCATGGCAGAAAAGCAGCGAAGCCCGTCAAGACCCCTCAAAAACGAGATCTTCTCATTCGGCCGTTGATCTTCGCTAAGCAGCAGTCTCAGCAGGGTTCTCACCTTCGATGCTAATGGGGAAAATTGCACGAGCCTCTAGTCAAGAACATATAAGGTTTAACTGCATAGAAAAGTCGTCTTGGATAGCCGCTAGGAATGGAGTTGAACGCCTTCAAACTGGGTGTGGCGGCAAATTTGCTGCAACGCCCACTTGCCAGCCGTGGAGATCGCGTGCTTCGATGCGGGTCCTTGCGCGATTGCGTGTAACTGTACCGCGTTTCGAAATTAATGCTGCCTCTTTTTGATTGGTTTTACTTGCTTAACTCATTTAATTATCGCATTTCTTTGTTTGTACTGATGCATATGTCTCTGTATTGGTGCATATGCGATTGCAGCCGCATTTCTTGCTGGCACGAGCCAGCAGAAATGCCGGCGGAGCAAGCTAGTTCGAAGCTCGTCCGGCCCGCCCCTTCCTTTATTCAAAGGGGAAGAGGGGAGCCCTTGTTCGAAAAGTTCATCGGCGGTTTTCTTTGCTTTTCCATTAGCAGTCAACTCGCCATCTACAACTTCATCGACCGTTTTACCCCGCGAATTCGATCTGGAATTGTTGCTGCAAGGAAAGGCAGTGGAAGGCGCGGAAGTATGGACGAGTTCACCGCAACGCATTTGGTGGCATCATGCCACGCTCCATATTTGACCACTCTAGCAGTAGTAGCCGCTGCTGGCAACACAACTCGTCCAAAATTAAATACCAGCCAAACTAGCGGGCGGATCACCTTTGGGACGTGGATGCTTCCGAAGTCCTTCTCAGCAACTAGCGCACTTTTCATCGCGAGAGCGCCACGCCTAATAGTATGGCAGTCAAGTATCTTCTTCATGTGGCACGCATAGTATGTACTTCCCCGAAGCGCTACCTCCTTATCGTAACCGCTTCCTTTAATTAAACTACTGGACATACCTGCAATTCTACTGCTTGCCATCTGTCGTCTGCTCTTTGGAAGCGATCATGGAGAATTACAGCTTCTGCTTCCCCAGTACGAATATAGTCATCAAGAAGAACGCGACTGTACTCATCGATGTATTTTGTATAGACGTAAAAGTAAGTGGCACCCTGCGAAAAGTCCGAAACTTCGGGAGTTTAGAAGGCACAAGTGAGTATGATAAGGTTCCACTGACTTGTAACTTGTAGTGCTCAATGAGTTCCGGCCAATAACAGCCATTTTGGTTCCGAACCAAAAATTGGCGCAACACAAACGGAGAAGAAGTATTTGGGCTCTGCAAAGTAGAAAGAGTGATTCAATTGTTTTTCATAAAACCTAGCTAGCTCATTCACAGCACTTTTTACTGTTTAGGCTTTGTGGCTTTGTATTCGCAATTGCAATATAAACAATTCGAAGTGTTTTGCTAACCATTGTTAGCTTGCGTTTGTTTTCAACGAATGTTCAGTTGATTGAAGAAAGAATGTGAGAAAAAAAACGATTAATTTTATTGGTGGATTTTTAAAGCAACGAAGCTTCGCGGAAGAGTAGTGTAAATATGGAATTGAGGAGCTTTATTTTGAACTAGCTCTGCATCTTTCATTGTAAGATCTTTAGGTTAAAGACACGGGCCAAGGTTATTATTTATTGGTTTGGAAGATGGAATTGCGCTGGAAAGAACTTAAAAGCACATTAAGAATAGGAGGTATTCGATTAAGAACGGAAGGTCACGAGGAGAAATGTATGTTCATAGGGGGGAAAAGGGGCTCAAGGTGCGGAGGCGACGCATTGCAGGCAATGGATATGCTCCACAACGATCCTACGCGGATGTCTGTCATGGTAACCGTCCGTTGAACAGATTTTCAAAAGTTTCGACCCCCCCCACGTTTTACTAGGTTATTTGATTTCTTGAGCCGGCCTTACACAGCGAACCCCAACCGTTTCTCCGAATAGCCGTCGACGACGACGAGACGAGAGGGGATGGGAATATCAACAGTGAAACGGCAATTTTTTTGAGCAGCTCACTAACAAGTAAGCGTAAAGCGTCACACTGCTGACCCCCCGTTGGTGTAGGCTTGATGCTGCCTCGGACCTTGCGAATACGACTCCCTCCCAGTTTTTGCTGGCCGAATACGACCCCCCTCGTTAGGACATTGTCCAACGGACGGTTGACCCTGGTGTCCGTGGCGTATCGCGTGCACTGCCCAGCTCTCACCATCTGGACTCTATGGCCTGGCTATTGGCCAGTTAGCGTTGATGCGGTCCACGGTGAGCAGCTAATGGCCGTAAACAGATGGAAGAGTCCATTTTTGGACTTTAGATGTTTTTTTGTTTTCGTTCATTCCCTGCCACATCACCACGTCTACCTTAATTTCTGTAGTGGGGCTGATTCTTATTCTAACTCACTTTGATGTTGTATCATCTATAAGCTTTTTCGTCTATTTCATCAGTCTTCTTTAATACACTTTTCCGTATCGGCCGATTCTTCAGTCAACCGATTTCATAGCGTGAGCATGAGGTGGCCTTGGAGTGCTACCATTATGCCCAGTTGCGATCCAGCATCCACTGTCACGTGATTTAATCACGTGTGAATCGCTCGATCCAATTTTTATTTTTTTAAGGGATGTCTTTCAGATCGCCAAAGTCTAAAGAGGTAGGAATTGATCGCTAATTTTTGGCATAGATGTATGGATCAGAGGGCCTGTATAATGTCAAGCTGGCATGCGAATGACAAATCTTGTATTTTCCTCACCATTTTGGCTTCGATTGATGATAGGAACGGGGTATTCGTATGCAGCGGTAGGCGTGTCTGTCAGTGACATGAAAGCAGGTTGCCATCGCGAAGTTGACGAGTTGCGCGTTGATTTCGCGGAAACATCAGGTCTGAATGGAGCGCACCGATTCGTTTCGAGATTCGTTCAAATTAGCGGACAGTGACACGGTCCTAAAGATTAATGATAGACTTCCACGGACTCGAAGGAAAGTGTTTTTCAGTTCAAGAAATGAATTTGATTAATTAGTTTACGAAGGTTACAAGTTTTTACCAATTTTTTTTATTTACAATGGAGTTTTGGCAGTTGCTTAGTGCGGAACGAACAAGTAGCACCGCAAAAATCCGCTTTAAATTTCTCCTTGGAGGTTGACCGTCAGGTGTACAGAGTACAGCTCTTGCGAGGAGAGGGGAAAACGCGAGAGTGCGTCGTTTACTCGTTCCGGAACCGGTGCCATGAATCGAATGATAGAATTCATTAAAAAAATAAACGAGCCAATTTATTAGAACGAGCAGTCGGCGGCAAAAGCAACGACTTTGAAAGTCCTTGACGCGGGCGTTTTGATAGCGGCTTCCTGCACTTGAGGACCCCTTATTCACACAGAAGGACCACTTATATTTGCACATGATTCATTGACTTTGAAATAAAAAAAGACGCGATGGATCCAGGTTAGAGATAGTTTCATACACGTTACCTCGAAAATCACGCGACCTTGGTGCTAATTAATTTGGTAGGCTACGATAACATTTATCCAACCACGCTGCCGTTTCGATGCCCTTCACGTCCGAAGGATTAAGACTGAGTGGGAGATTTTCGAATGAAGAGATTTGGATCACTGAAGCAAACGTTTGACCAATACTCGCAGCAAATCGTTTTATCGATTTTTGAACACGAAAACATAACAAATCGATTTTCGCGTAAGCCCTCTTTAGACTTAAGGTAGATCAATTCACGATCTATCCAGATTGAAAAATTCCCACAGAAACTGCGCACTTCTGCAACCATACAGCAGTTCTGACCTTTCTTGCCTTTTTTGCGTATTTTCCATTCTAATCTATGCTTCCACGAGGGAGGTCTTTCAGGTGTACCCGCGCTTTCTCAAAACGGTTTTTTGCATGATGTTAGAGGGATGTGCGTGGATTACAGAACTGTAGTCCATTTCCGCTAAATGGCCTTCTGAATGCCAAAAAAGGAGTGAAAATAATTTCGTCGGATAGTGCAATTTTTGCGCACTCACCGTGGTTTGTTTCATTTATGGCGTGGACTGCTTGCATAACGAAGGGTTCTCGCAAGCTCTGTATCGAAAACAACGCGAAGTTTGGCCAAAATTGGAAAGTTGTCGTAGTGATGACATGCTATGTAGTGAAGAGCGTGTGGAAAGTTTCATGGGTGCATTTGGCTACTCAGCATTAGGCAGGTCGAGTGAGTGGATGGAGATATGACCTCTTATCGGCACGGTTAGGCGGCGGGTTGCTGGTGCAGTCTCGAGATATGCGCGAGATTTTTTTTTGCGTTTCTTGTTGGACTTCCAGATTTCATATCGAGACTCAATGTTGCTTAAATGCCATAATAGTGTGTATTGTTATTAATTGGAGTCGTTAGTACCTTAGGTAGTTCCAGAGCACGGAAACAGATTGTAAGCGTGCAAAGTGGCGCAGGAACAGCGGAAAGCGGCAGGCTCCAAAAAACATTGCCATATTACTTACCAGCGCACTGATTCTACTCTTTATTAGCCGAAGTTTTCGAAGGAAGATTGAAGCATTCTAATGATATAATTCCGAAATTTTCACTAGACAAAGTAACTCTTCAAGTATTTCCAGCCGCTTGGGGGCAAGCTCCGTGTGGAGAACTAGCAGGAAACTACTGCATTGCGGGGTGTCCCCCTCTCCCCGACCGTCATCAGCTTGGGTGTCTACTATTCTGTTCGTATTGGGAACATTTCTCATTCCTTTGATGAGGATCTAGAGGAGGTCATTTCCAAGAAGTTCGCCGTCGAGCCTGACGTGCTACAGAGTTTACTTATTACTCATGGAGCAATTTTTCGAAGTTGGGTCAAAGTCTTGATTTTCTTGGAAACTTCGAATACAAGGGTAATCAGGTGTCCTGATTACGACTATGACATTCATTTTCAGCTCCGACGTCATTTTTGGCGGCCTATGACGCTGCTCGACGGCACGTTGGTGCCATTCTTACGTCACAACTTTTTTTAACTTGTTTTCGATCGTTACTTCTTAAAGGTTTCTGAGAAGCCCTAATTTATAAATAGGACATCAGTTCCTGGTGTTGACGTACTTGGTGCCAATTTTGTTGCGTCAAATCACAATGCAAAAAATTTGTCGCCGCGGAGAATCGAACCAAGGACCATTTGCTCACTCCTTTTTTGGCATTCAGAGAGCCATTTAGCGGAAATGGACTACAGTTCTGTAATCCACGCACATCCCTCTACATCATGCAAAAAACCGTTTTGAGAAAGCGCGGGTACCACCTGAAAGACCTCTTGTGAGTGATCAGGCGGATAGTTTTCTAAGAGCATTCCAATCAATAAATTACCAGCGGACCTTCCACATTTTTCGAACCTATAGTACAAACCAGCGTGAGATTGATTTACAGTTAGGTGGAAAAGCGGAACGGATGCTTTTTTTTTTCTGTTTTACCCCGCCTTTGCTAGCTGACCACAAGAGGCAATTCAGATCTATGGATTTTGTCGCCATACAAGAAAACGATATCGGCTTATATTGGAGAACTTCAGAGAACTTCTTCCAACAAGTACTTCGGAATGATGGTATAAGAAGTAAGGATCGTTATCCTCGGGAAGTGATGGAGTGTGAGACAAGAACTCACCCGAATTTGCCTCTAGAAGTAATCATAACATTTATTTGTTCCGGATATTCGTAAGCAGCAACAAGTGAAATATTCATTTTTGGGCCGCTCTAAAAACTGCAATAGCTGACATTGAAATTCAGGTAATAGTTAAAATTATGGCTATGCTGCTTGCTCAAAACGGTTAATTTACCTTCTTGCCAATACCGCTTTTCAATAACTTATTGTACCATTCCTGTCTGGCGGAATACTTTGAGATTTTTTTCTTGTTACGATGTTCGGTACAGCTGGTTTGCGACGGACGAATAATCTTCTGGAAGGCTTCTTATGATCAATTCTCATAGTCTAGATTTTAGGCACACACAAGTCGTACAAATGGCCCTACTCGATTCGAGATTGTGAACGCTTCAGCCTATCAATGTGGAACGAGCGCCGTTATGTGCGCTTGATCACCAGATGAAGTACAGCGTTGGCGAAGCTCAGGATGCGGAACACGCTAAGGTTTTCTCTCTCTCTTTCTTCAGTAATCAAGCGATCTGGTCTGTACAACGCGGCTACAACGGATCTATAAGTCAATACTTGTACTCACCAGATGAGGATTCCATGGAAGGGCTGGGGTCAAAGAAGCGGAAATATAACAGGGTGCCTTAAACGCAGACTTACTTTTGAAAGTTAGCTCATTGGAAATAAGGGTAGAGGTGGTCAGTGGAGCAGGGATGAAGAAGAAACCATTGAAACGGCCCGAAACCCGAGAAATGGGACCCCTTCCTTGCCCGTTGATTTGCGCATTGATGCGACTCTCATCGCTGTGCCCTCTTCAACACTACGCTCTCTCTGCTATCTAATCACTCGCCACGTATAGACCTGCGGCGAGTGATTAGATAGTCGGTGGGCGTACCCGCCAACCGCGCCAAGAGTGAGCCATGCTAGATCGCCGAGGTCAAATCTTTCGCTGCCAATTGCGCGTCGGTCAGCACCCTCAGAGGTCCGCCTGTCTCCCAACTATGCAATTTTCCCTTCTTTTATCTTCGTTCTTATAGTGAATTCCAGTTGAGGCGGGAAAGGCAGGGCTTCCTGAGGGTCCCCCTGCATCCCCACCGATTGGCTGAGCCCTCGCTGTCCACTCTAGCCGTTGTAGCAGAGAAAGCGTTAGCGTTGATGAGGGCAGCGTCGGTGAGATTGCGGAACGCGCGAATTAAGGGGTTCCCTCACGGGCTACCCTTTCATGTAAATTCTGCCTTTCAAGGCAAAGCCTGAGAAGGAGCTGACGTGCCATTGCGCTTGCGAGCGACAGTGGAGATGTGAAGAATTAACGCCAGCTGTGAAAAAACGGGAGAAACCATTCAAAGGCGGAAAATACAACCCTCTCCCCAGTAGCAGCAAAGCAAAATAGAGGTGATTTATAGCGTCCCTAATGGTGTTGGGCGGGTCCAGTCCTGCATCTAAGGGTTCGGCATCTCAGCTCTGTTAAATCAGCTCGGAAATTCTGCACTGCTTTTGCTTGCGCTGCACCTCCGTCAGGGTGAAGCTGAACTTCTACCAGAACTTCCCGGATATTTCCTTAAAAACATGTTTTCACCAATTAATCGGGTAGGATGGAGGTGATGGATGGCTTGAGGGATTCCATTTAGGGTCAGAGTAATTGTGCACGTTTTACATAAGAGACCCCATTTGCTATTGCAGAAGGGCAAATGTGAGTAATTTGAGAGAAATTCCGTGCCCCATGCAAGCAAAATGCGGTGCTTTTGCTGTAAAAGGGTGCGCTCACTGGGGACTGGCAACTCTAGCAGTCCCCAGTGAGCGCACCCGCGTCAAAATCGACGTGGAGAGAGCAAGGGTCCGGTCTTACAGTGGTAAATTGTCTTCATCACCTTTTGCCACCACTGCCTTTCATTTCCATCGGCGACCAACTTTTCGTTTATCGAGAAGAGTCAAAAAATTTGAACCGTGGTGGATTTCTTGGAGTTGGTCTTCAGCGAAATACTCTACTTTCGGATGCTTTTCGCTTTCCTACTGCTTCTTTCCAGCATGCGTGAAATTGAGAACCTCAAAGCCTTTTAACACTTATAAGTCCTCTCTTTGAATGATCCAGTAATTGCATTGGAACACTATTCTATTTTGTTTTCATTTCTGGATGGTTCATCCACGTCTACCCCTACTCCAATATTTCACCGATCACCACTCAATCTGAATAGCGGTACGGTGTAGTAGCGTTATGCGCCACCATAGAA